ATATATATATATACAATATACAAGAAGATTTACTTAAACAAGTTATCCCTGCTCTCTCTCTCTTTTGCGACAAGGAAAATTGACTCATAAATGAAACACCACAGGGGTGCAAATCAAGCAATTTCAAAGCAAAAATATATATCGTGTTATAAACGCATTTTTAAATATAAGAAAATTATTTTCTAAAACAAAATTAAAAAAATAAAATTTTAATTAAAAAAAAATTTTCTATTGTAAATTATAATTTTGTTTTCGTAAACTATTTTATAATAACTATAATATATCTATAAAAAAGAGTTTTTTTAATTATAACCCAGATATATATAACTTTTGGTATATATTGCGTGTGTGTGTGTGTTCATTAAAATTCACAAGTTTATTAATTAGTGACAGTGACCTGAACTGAAATGGAAACCAATGACCATAGTTTAGTTACGCAGTTATTGTATGTGCTGTAAAATTCTGCTTGTGATTTTATCGCTAATAAATTTGCCATTGAGCACCATTTGTACTGACACTTAAACAATGCGAAGGGGGACACAAGAGTTTATATACAGAAACAATTTGTAAAACATTTGTTTACTAATTCTGTGAATATATTTTAAAACAAAATGAATAGATTTTTGATTGTATGAAAAATTTTTCTAGAAAAATTTTTGATGCAATAAATATATATCGATCTTAGAAAGATTCCAATGCGCCCTTATATCCATGATCCGCCGTTAAAGTCACTTTGAAGACTGTAAACGTCAATCCTTCATATATAGAATCGAAGATCAGTTTCTTCCTCGCAGTTATTTCATTTCCGTTCATCGGCACTATATAATTAAATTCTTCCTGTTTTTTTCGTCACTATTTTTTTTTTGTTTTTCACATTATTGAAAATTTTAAGTTATTAAAATGAGATTATTATAATTTAATACGCAAATTTGAAATATATAATATTATTATTTAATTTAGTAGTTATAAATTTTTTTACTAAAATTTTTGTAAAAAAAATGACTAAAAATTAGTGAAAATTCTTACTAATTTAAATTAGTGAGAATTTTTATTAATTTTTAGCTCACTTTTCACTAATTCAGAGATGTAGAGAGAAAATAAGATAGTCAGATCTTTATTTTATAACAAATAAATAAAATTTATTGACTAATTTAATTAGTCTTTGAGTTATTTTTCCACTAAAAATTAGTTTTCTATTTTAAAATTAGTTTTTATACTAATAATTAGTTACTTTTTTCAGTAATAATTCTTTTACTAATTACTGAAGCAAACAGTCAAACTATTTACTAACAATTAATAATTAGTAGTTAGTAATTAGTAAAAAATAACTAATTTTTAATAGATTGAAAAAATATACAACTCTTCTGAATTTGAATTAGTCATTTTTGACTAATTCGCACCTGAATTAGTAACTATTTTAACTAATCTTTAGTAGAAAATGAACCTGAATTAGTAACTATTTTAACTAATCTTTATAGTAGAAAATGAACCTGAATTAGTATTTTTTTGACTAATTCTTAGTAGAAAATTACTAATTCTCAGTAGAAATTGACAAATTCTTAGTAGAAAATTAATAATTCTTAGTAGAAATTGATTAATCCTTAGTAGAAAATTACTAATTCTTAGTAGAAATTGATTAATTCTTAGTAGAAAATTACTAACTCTTAGTAGAAATTGACTAATTCTTAGTAGAAAATTACTAATTCTTAGTAGAAATTGACTAATTCTTAGTAGAAAATTACTAATTCTTAGTAGAAAATTACTAATTGATAGTAGAGTAAATATTTATTTAGTAAGATTTCTATTTTAACTAGTAAAATTTAATAAATTAATTAGTAGTTTTTTACTATTAATTATATTCGTTATTCATTAAATGAATTAGTATCCATGTTTACTAATTTTTAGTCAGAAATCACTAAATAATAGTAGCAAGCTACTAATTAATAGTATAAAGCTATTTGATAGTATAGAAAACTACTATAATTTACTTAAAGAATTAGTAGTTTTCTACTAACAATTATTAGAAAACTAATTCACTAAATGAGTTAGTAGTTATGTTTATACTAATAATTAGTCATTTCAGAGAGTACTAAATTAAATAGCAATATTTTACTAAAAAATTCGTAAAAATTTCCACTAATTTGAATTAGTGAAAATTTTCTCTAATTTCAATTAATAAAAGAATTCTTATTTCAGATTTAGAAATTAGAATAAACATTTATTAATTTTGATAACCATTAATTGAATATCACACAACTCTTATGAAATAAAAGAGACACACGTGCGTGAACGCATCAAAAATTAAATTTGTCCAAAATTAGAACGTGAATAATATTTTTTTTTTTCATCGTATATATAAATGAAAACGTGTGAACTCGGAATTAATCTGCGTGAAACTGTTTTATAGAGTTTAACATGACAGAATGTAATTTCTAGAAAATTTCCGTTGGGAGCGGCCAAATCAACATGGGAGGAAACATGGGACACCCTTAATGTTAGAGAAAAATGGAAGGGAAGCAAAAGCTTTCTCATGTCCGACTATATTGTGTCAGCGGCCAATCTCTGATGGTCTCTCTGGGCTTCCATTCTCTCTTTCTCCAAAGAGTCAAACTCTCCTAATCCCCCTTCGACGACCCTTCTGAAATAACCTTTTCTACTGTCAGCACTTCTCTCTCTCTCTCTCTCACTCTATATCCCACAGAGATTGTCAAATTATACACGTGCCTCCATTTTTTTTTTTTTTTCAAATATCTGGATTAAGGAAACACTTCATCAGCTGCGTTTCTTTACATAACAAAATATTAATCTGTTTTTAAATGACAATAAAATGTTTTGTATTTATTATTTCGGAAAAAAACATATATTTAAAAAAAAAATGGTTTTTCGTTGAAATTTTAGCAGTGATGGAGAATAATTTAAATGGATTGAAAATTTGGCCGATATGCATTGGATTTTTGGATTAGGAAATTTGCCCTAAAAAGGAACATTCAGTTTTTGTGGTTGTAGTATTTTGTCCCCCTTAGCTTTGTATTTATATATATAGTTATATATAAAGCATCTCATCCATTGGTGACGCCTTACCCACCAAATGTGCCGTAAACTCACCCCCAAGAGATTTGCCTTAACACTTTTCTTGATAGTATACCAAAAAAAAAAATAAAGTGGTGCTAAGAAGAAAACATAAAATAAAACTTGTTTTTTTCAAAACATAAATAGAAAGATTACTATAAATATTTATTTCTCTTATTGCACTAAAAAGAACTGATTTTTTCTAATTAGTATTTTCCATTTCTTTTTTGTTCCAGGCTGATGTTTTTTCCCCTCAATCGTTAGAAAAAAGGCCTCAAAGTGTTCGGAACGGTAGAGAAACCGTTTTACCCTTTCGAACTGTGCAACAGGTGAGTCTTAATTATTAATTTGTTTTAATTTTGACAAAATTTTGATACTTTTTAGGGATTGAATGTTTTCAGATCACTCTTGTATTTAACTTATTTTTACACAATATTTTCCTAATTTTTCAGGTTCTCCCGCGTGTTCCCATCCCCAACCGTGGCCGGTATACAAGGTGAGTCACACACTGCACCAAGTGCAAAAAAAAAAAAAATAAAACAAAAATTCTACCAGCTTGAACGGATTTATCATCTCCCGATCCATATAAATACAAATCTATAATCAAAATCGGATATAAAAAATGTGTATCAAAACAATAAGATATACTTGGCAATCTTTACTTTCGGCTAATCTTAATCAGTTTTAGTCTATAAATATTTTTTCCTAATTGCAAAAAACAGTTGATGAGGGAAGTTCGCTTTTTTAGCAAATGAATTTCTGAATCAGTATTAAAATAATAAGGGATGAATCTAAAGTATAAATGCGCTTACGTTACAGAAACTTCGTGACGTGAACTTGTAAGTACATCGTGGTAATACTCGTATAGTTACTAAACTGTGCATTCCATCTCTATATATATATATCTATATATAGGAGGCTGGGAAACGCTATAAAGTCCATTCATGATCGCGTTGCCCCGTTATAACGATTGCAGCTCGCGCGGTTATCACTTGTAGAGTATAATCCGTCTACGAAGTTGGTAACCCATCAACTCGGTGTGTCACTAATTCCATTCCTTTCATAACACAAATACTTTGATGAATTTTGTCATCAATTGCTGTAAAAAATCTTCTTTTTTTCCTAAAAATTTTGAATTTGTATACATATATTTCTGAAACGTATTTCTTCTATAGCACTAATTTTTAATTGGTATACAACTAATTTCTAATTCTTGGCTAATCTTCTCTCAAAGTTTAGATATCCATTTGGATGTCTAGGAATACAACTAGGTATACAACTAATTTCTAATTCTTGGCTAATGTTCTTTCGAAGTATAGATATCCATTTGGATGTCTAGGAATACAACTAATTTCTAATTCTTGGCTAATCTTCTTTCGAAGTTTAGATATCCATTTGGATGTCTAGGAATACAACTAGTTATACAACTAATTTCTAATTCTTGGCTAATATTCTTTCGAAGTTTAGATATCCATTTGGATGTCTAGGAATTGTATTAGAATTAGAATATTCGGTGCCTTTTGGAAATTATCCTACAGTATCCCAAGGATTATGGATCATCCCTAATTTCATCTTCGGAACATTTTTTTAATGATCATCAAATTATAATCCGGCATTATCGAAATATTCCACTTTTGCGGAATCATCCAAAGAGGGAGAGAGAAGGTTAATCTCCCTAGAGTTTTTATTTCAATCGTTCCAGTTTCTCAATCGGTTGACGCTCTCAAATCCCAAAAGAGAGAAGGATAGATCAGCGCTGAGGGGTTTTTCAGTAGGCGAGTTTGTATTTGTGTCTGGCTGAATATACATATATATATATATATAGGGTGGTTGAATGGTGGGACGCAGGAGGGGTAGTTTGGATGTGGGTGCAAGGGCGTGGGGGGGGGGGGAGTAAAGGGGATTCGTGAGTAATCGGCGAAAACGAGAGAGAGAGAGAGAAAGGGGGGGATATAGGATGGGTGACGTCGGTGCAAGTTTAGTTGAGGAATGAACCGAGAGATCGCGCAAGTATCGTCTTTTGGCTGTCAGCTCCAAGCGAGTGGCAGAGCTCAGTCGACGTTCAGTTCGGCTCAGCGAGGCTAGCAAAGAAGAAAGGGGATTCCTTAATGCGTGTGTCCGTGTGTGAGTGCAGTATTGTCCCACTCAGGACCTATACTACTCGACCCCTCGTAACAATATTGTCTTGCTGAGACAGACTACCTGCTTTTGGATACGCGGAAAAAAAAAAAAATTAAGGTCCATTCCAAGGATCCCTTTTCTAACCCCATGGTGTAAAAGAAAAAAATTTTTTTTTTTTTCTTTGACAGGCATATAACCATGCGATTATAACAGTGACTTATAAGTGAGGGTGCAATCATTATTATTTACTTATAACTGAATTTTTTCATCATTGTAAAGATTGCCCAGTGTTAAAAAGAAAGTTAGTGACCATGTGCGTGTTAGTAACATGTCATTGGATAAGTTTAGCTGAAATAGTTCAAGCTGGAATTTAAAATACTCCCAAGAGCAACATATTAAAGTGTATTGTGTACTTTGCTTTTTTGTTTCATTACGCCCTGCGATAACATCAAACCTGGACCACTAAAAAATAATTGTTACACGTGACAATTGGACCTGGTGCTGAATCTCCTTTTTTTTTGTTAATCATTGCTCCGCCGGACTTGCCTTTGGCGCTCTTACCTCGTTGTCCGCCGACTCGCCGTTACCCCTCCACCTGTCTGTCGTGTCCCCCTACCCACTTTCATCCCGTGACTCCCTCTTTACTCGTATCCCTATCCCCACCTGCCTTTTGCACGCGCTTCCTTTATTTACTATTCGCCACCCTGCCAAACAACATGATGATGACAACGACAATCTTCTGGTGAAAAAAAAAAATCTAATAATTGAAATTCATCGGTATTGCGAATCTGGTTATAATACCGGATATTAACGGCCACTATTTGCACCATCGCCGATCACGTGGCTTGCTCAACGGCGACGCTGTACGACAATGTGCACGCCGCGCCGCTGTGCGGCTCCGGCGTGGGCCACCCTGGCTCCGTCACGCCGATGGGGACAGCCACCGGAACGGGGAATTCCGCCGGGTTGACCTGGTGGGCAATGATGCCCGGCACCCCCTACGAAGACAGTCCGCCACCTGTAGCCCCAACGTCGTCACTTGCATCAATTCAACAGAATTCCTCTGTAGGCTCACATCAGCAAGCACCAACGCCAACATCACCAGGAGCACCAGCATCGGCAGCAACAGCACCACCTGTACCAACGGCGAGCGCGAGTTCAACATCGCCAAGCGCCTCATCAGTGACGAGCAACAGTGCAGCAGGACCTCTTCACATACCCGCAAAAAGGCTAACAGCAACACCAGTTGGTTCAACCTACGGCGAAGTTACTTGTGTCGAACCAACCGGTACACCCGTAGGTGCAGGAGTTATTCGACACTCACACTCCTCGTCAGCTGGCTCCCAAGGCGGTTGGAGTTACAGTCCCCATCATCCTCAGGACACACACTATTCCTCGTCGACTGGTACGGAGTCTCTCAATCATCATCAGGCGTACGGAGGCGCTAATCCTCCCACCTACTACAATCTGGCCGCTGATCCATCATCAACCTCCGGCTCCTCCAGGGACAATCGGAAACCAAATTCCGTTGGTTTCTGGTCACCTGCAGCCACATCAATTGCCGGCTCAACATCCGATTATAAATCCTATAATTCAGGTGGTGTAGCAACAACAACCTCATCAACTGGAGGCTCGTCCTCCGGTACAGCCGGCACAACGGATCCCGCAGTGTCCTGTCATCAAAGCTTCTCACAAAGTTGGTGTAGCTATAGTCCCTACACAACGGCGAGGCATCATCATCCCGTTGATTCTGTGGGTCATCATCATGCCCATTCACAAGCAAGTGTTTCATATTTAACACCATCGGCCGCTGACGAACGAGGAAGAATGGCTGCAGCAATGGTCGCCGATGCATTTCCACACGAGAGCTACAATCCAATCAGAAACTACGGTTCTGAACCTGTTCCATCAAGTCCATATTCAGCTCCAGGTAAGCATCCAACACATATTTCTTCTCACACGCTCATGTAAGACTGGTTTTTAGTCTCGAATTTCTTGTCTTATTATTGGTCATCGAAAATTATTCCTAATGTATTCTTACATGGGTGGTCGTCGAGACGCCATTTAACAGAAGTCATTCATTGGGTTAATGAACTAAAGGTTTATCTTTAATATTATCCTGTCAATACTGATAAAAAAAGAACATTTCTTTCAGAATTTTCATACAGTAATTGAGATTCAAATTTAACAGAATTTATATTGATATTACCTTTCGGAAATTATGACTGCTGTGCAAAATAATTTCTTTCTAAAAAAATTTGGAGAAACACACTGTAAAAAGAAAGTACTAAAACAGTACCGATTTTAGGTATTTACCAAAGGTTAATTTAGTACCTGAAGTCGGTATTAAATTAATACCTTTTGTTTCTACAGTGCAAATTTCAGATTTGCATAGCAGATCTGGTTATCGTAATTTCCAAAAGCGGATTTCGTATATGGGTATTTCAGGATTTTCCTTACGGATGGTACAATTTGTATTCATATAGTAGTGCAGTATTATTACCTATTATTTTAAAACTTATTCAAAAATCGCTAACAATAAATCAAATCGTATATACCAAAAAAATCACTATCCAATTAAGCTAACATATAATTTACAAATTTTTGTGCCAATCGAAAAAATTTATATCAAAATATTGAAACAGATTTTGAAACATTCCTTAAATAATAATGGAAGAAATTTTTAGTGAAAAAATGGTTAATTAAGACATTTTTACACCTTTTTTTTTTTTTATTCTGTATCGACTTTCGAATGACATCATTGGCAAGGTGAACGATCGTTTTGTAATTGGTAACAAAATGGCTATTTCATGCGGGTCAGGGTCGGGATGACCGCGTCTTTCACATGCACGCGACTACAGGGATCTCACGCGCCACTGAAGTCGTAAAGTTGACAGTTTTCCGTGTCGTAAATTAGCACTGAAATTTTACGTTGCTCTCAAATTAATAGCCTTTAAATGATTCAGCGTGCGATTATTGCAAGTTACTATATATATATACAGATATTGCTATTTTAAATATTTGCACATTTATTTGATATAACACTAAAATGTTTCAAATTGCAAAAAAAATATTTTGCTAATTTTAAATGATGGGACTAATTCTTGTTAAATAATCTTAACAGTAAAATCAGTACTAGTAAAATTATGTTATCTAATTTTTGATAATAGTGATTAATCGAACATAATTGATACGATAAAATTTTGAGTGGGATTTTAGTTAAAAATTCCAAAGGAGGGGGGTAAAAAAAAAAAAAAGTAAAATTATCGTTCATTCATGCGTTGGTCAGCCCCCTCTGCTCTCCCCCTTTGCCATGGGTATAGCTTGTGAAACGTCGCATGAGCAACAACGAACGGCGGTGGGTTTATTGGCGGCCGTAACTCGTAAACTCTGGCGCGCGCCTCTGATCAGCTGATCCGTTCCATGACCCGTGTGCTGGTCTTCTATCTTTTTCTACCAAACATGCCCTTTTCCCGTTACAAATCAGCAATTCTATAAATTTCCAAATAATTCTAAAATTCATTGTTAATTTCATCCCTTTTTTTTTAAAGTCAAACAGTATATCAAAATTCAATTTTTCTGATACTATAATAAAAAAAATACTAAAATCGATTTTAGGTATTAAAATAGAATTTAGTACCTAAAGTCAATCCCTTTCGTTTTACATATTCCAAAAATATACTTTTTTTGTTAATTCAATAACAATTGAAGTGTAATTGCCCTTAATGCGCTTTAAAATAAAAAACAAGAAACCGCTAAGCTTTTTAAAATGTAATTTTATGAACTTTAAAATTTTATTAACAATAGTGCCGAGCCCTAATCTCAGCGCGTCGCGTGTAAATGTTATTTACAACTCGTAAAACATCGCAATAAATAATCCAACAGGCGCCTATTGCCCAGAGAAGAGTGAGTGAACTAACGGTGATTTATGATTCAGGTGATTTTTTTTTATTTTGAATGTCTGCAAAACTAAATTTCAGTTTTAGTCACTAATTATATCATTTCTTGAGTCAATAAAAATGTTTCTTTTTTTTTTTTTTTTTTTTTTTTGCAGTCTATAAAAACCAATTGCCACCGAAAGAGCTACCCACTTGTAAGATTCCGCAAGTTTATTATTCTCACGGAATGGAATGGGTTTTGCGCGCGGCAAGAATAGTTTTTGTTGCTCTCAATAGATGGCAGCTCTAATAACTTTAGGCTGTTCGTTTAACTGTATGTGTATATATGTGTGTGTGTGTGTGTATGTATTCTCCCACTATATTTCAAGCATGAGTTTCGATCGTTTCTCCTCAACTGTGTTGTATCCCCCTAGCAATCCCTTAATTCTCATGTTAAATTTATTTTGAAATTTATCAATTATATTTTATTAAATTAGTTAAATTGGAAAAAGTTTTAAAAAGCAAAAATTGGATAATTTTTAAATTTATTTAAAATTGTTTGAATTATTATAAAAAAAAAATTTAAAAAATAGGATTTTTTTTTGTTATTAATTAACAATTATTAAATTAAATATTTTAAATTCAAAATTCAAGGGATGAATAAGAAATTTTACGCCGTTAATCGCGTTATACATTTGTAAATTATGTATTAGCGTAACATCGTAAAATGTCTTTTCTTATTTTTTTTTTTTCATTTTGAGATGAGGGGTGTTTCTTGTGGGTTTCTATATTCAGTAAATCAGACACAACAAAGCTGTGGGTATTGACTTCCCTTAAAATAGGTATTCCCTTTACTGTATAGTGAATATTTCCCCCCCTAACATTATTCCAGTGTTGCCAACTGTCACGAATATAACTGAAAAAGACCCTTATGTATTCCTTGCAGACACGTATATATACATATATATAAATATAAAGAATGAGATATTTGTGGAAAAGTCTTTTCACTTCCCAGAATGAGGAAAAAGCTGTTGATATTATTTTCCACCACGTTCACAAATGTTAATTTTTTTTTTTTTTATCTAAAAATTATTAGAAGAATTTTGTATTAATTATTTTTTATATTAATTAAAAAACTAATTATTAAATAGAAAAGAATTTTTAATAATTAATAGAGAATAAAATATTGGTAAATTAAAAAGTACTCATTCCCGGTGAAGAAATTGACACTTTTCATCCCAATTTCCGACCTGGCTCTGATACGATTTTCTATTCTGGCCCCGGGTTAGAAAATTTCTATGAGCCCGACCAGGGCCAGGCCTGGTTGCCATATTTAAAATTTTTTAAAAAACTAGTGAAAATGCATTTATAGCATTTTATGACATTTTTTACTCTCTAAATCTGAATTAGTAAAAATGTTTACTAATTTGAATTAGTCACTCACTTTTTGCTTATTAGTAAAATTTTACTAATTATTAGTAACTTTTAGTAACAATTAGTAAAATTTTATTAATTATTAGTAACTTTTACTAACAATTAGTAAAATTTTTACTAATTATTAGTAACTTTTAGTAACAATTAGTAAAATTTTACTAATTATTAGTAACTTTTACTCACAATTAGTAAAAATTTTACTAATTATTAGTAACTTTTAGTAACAATTAGTAAAATTTTACTAATTATTAGTAACTTTTACTAACAATCAGTAAAATTTTATTAATTATTAGTAACTTTTACTCACAATTAGTAAAATTTTACTAATTATTAGTAACTTTTACTAATTATTAGTAACTTTTACTAATTATTAGTAACTTTTACTAACAAATTAGTAAAATTTAACTAATTCTAAAGCAAAAAGTGAGTCTTTCTTAAATTTTAACTAATTGTTAGTAAAAGTTACTAATAATTAGTATAATTTGACTAATTCATAAGCAAAAAGTGAGTCACTAATTTAAATTAGTAAACATTTTTACTAATTCAAATTTAGAGAGTAAACAAAACAATTATTCAAAGAATTTTTTTCAACTTTCATATTTCATTTTCATTTTATAAGGTGTTTTTTTAAATGCAGATTCATAAAATAAAATAATATTGATTAATTTTATTGTTTTATTTATCGCAATTAGAGATAAATAATTATAATTTATTGAAAATTACAAATATACTATAAGATCGGGCAAATTACCATAGCGCCCCGGTCGGGTTTTCTGTTTCATTTCGATCGGGCCCATTTCAGGTTGCCAGATCTGTCCCTTGTCGTGCCTAGTCTGGGCCCAATCAGGGCCCGATCAAATTTTCTGCACGGGAATTTTAAAGTGCGCCAAAAAAAGTGTCAAGTAGGTGGCGCCACGTTTTGTATCGTTTGGCTCAAATTAATATTTGAATCAAATTTTTTGTTTTTTTTTTTTTATTTATTATTGTTCAAAGTAAAAATAATATTGGCAGCTAGTTTTAAATTTTGTAAATTTTATACTCTTCTTGCGATATAAAAAAAAAAAGGAAAAAAAAAGAAAGTACCAGATGAAATGTGATTGAAAATATATTGAGCCTCGAAAAGTCATGTGCATGCCCTTTCACGTGTTGACAACTGTGGGAATCCTGACCTTTGTTAAATAATTTGCATATTTCCACGTTTTAGTGGGCAATAAATTCCTGTCGCTTAGGCAATCACAACAAGGTGAAGAGAGTGAGGGAGTCGTTGAAAAGGAGAGGGGAAACAAAGAACGAGAGAGAGAGAGAGAGAAAGAGAGAAAAGTAAATGCAATAGAGAGAGTGTGTGTGAAAATATAGTAAAACGGAACAGTTTATGCGTCTACCGGTTGTAGACGATATCATGGAAGATGATTGTATTACGAGTACATTCACATGTGATTTCAGTCACGGTTTTAAAATCATGTCTTCTCACTGAGGATACTCGTTATACATATATATTTATATACATAAAACCCATTTTGCTTTATACACAGTTCCCTTTACTTTGATTAGCCGACACCGCGAAAAAAAATTCTGATATTTTTTTCTAGATTCTTTTAGATTTTACAATGTTAGACAAAATTAGATCCTTTTTTTTACTAAATTAAGATATTTCTTTCTTATAAAATGGAAAGTATAAACGTTCCAAAGTTGTAATTAAAGTAAAACTTATGCAATGAAAACTAGTTTCTAATTAGGGATTATAAAATTGCAGATTATGGGATTAAAGTAAATTTATCTTATTAGATTTTGCTTTTTTCTCCATTTTTTAAGTGTTGCAATTAGTGTTATTTAAAAGAGTAATATGTGTTAAAATAACCGTTACTCAAAAGAGTAATGTGTTATCATGACCGTTACTGACAAAAAAAAAAAAAGAAAAAGTAATGTGTTTCTGTATCCAATTCTCGTAACGAGTTCCTGTAACCGTTATTACGAAAAAAAAATCAAACTCCCAGCTTTCTGCGCTCTTTTTTTTTGACACGGAAAAAAGGGTTTGGTTATAACAAAACGTTTGATTGGTATATTTAAGTAACTAAATTTTAATTCTAATTTTGGTTGTGCCGTCAACTAAAGTTTGAATATAAGGCAATCAAAATTTTGTTGAGGCAATACAAAATTTTGATTTCTTAAATACCAATCAAACGTTTTTCTCTAAAACAGAATATTTTCTTATAACCAATGAGATAAGTTGAGACAAAGACGTTTCCTAAATATCCTTATGCCTTGAAATACACCTGTTTCTTTAGTGATTATAATTAGATACAAATGTTAGAAACAAGTTTTAAAAAATGGTTCTTACATGAAGGTTTATTTTTTTTATAACTTTGTGTATATACTTACATATGTAAATTTATATATATATATATGCATATATCTGTCAGAAAATCTTGTAAATAGTGAATTATTCACGATAGGGAGTAGCAGGTGTAATGCAGCGTATCAGCAACAACCTTACAGTTTATGCTTCGTCTAACGAATGCTACTGGTGTGATGTACTAACCATTCAGTGAAAATTCAAGTTGTGTCATATTTCTAGTAAGGTTGATAGAACCGGTCCAATTATATCATATATAACTTTGCCAACAAATCGTTCAGACAGCCTTGGCCGCAAGTACAGTGCGTCAATGCAAAAATTACTGTATAATTTTCATGTATTTTATCAGATTTTACAAGTAAGACACCGTTTCCTTTTTTTATCATTGAAGAATATGTCAACAGTTTTTACTGGGATAATTTTCGTTTTTAGGTATACTTTGTACTTTGCTTGTGTTTTTGAATCCATAATTTTTAAACCTTTGTCAAAAATGCTGCTGATTATTTGGACTAAAGGCAAACAAATTATTAATTTCGTACTGTAGAATCTGCAAAGCATTTATTTTTGAATCAAATAGTTTTTAAATCTTTGGCAAAAATGCTGCTGATTCAATAGCATTTGGGCCAAAGGGAAAAAAGATTATATTAATTCAGAAGCATATATGCTTTAGAATCTGTATATACGTATTTTACGAATCCTATTAGCATTTGTTTTTGAATCAATAATTTGTTTACCTTTGGTTCAAATGCTATTGAATTCTACAGCATTTTTGCCAATGGTTTAAAAATTATTAATTCAAAAATAAATGCTAATAGAATTTGTACAATATTATACAGATTCTGCAGCATATGCTAAAAATCTTTTTTCCCTTTGGCCTAAATACTTAAAAATTATTAATTCAAAAGCATATACTGCATATTTTACAAATTCCATTAGCATACACTGAAAAAAAATAGTATTGAATCAAGAAAACCTATATGTACTTGACCGTATTTTATACCAATATTTTCTTGATCCAAGAAAATTTACTTCAAACTAATAAAAATTTCTTGGATCAAGAAAATATTGGTATAAAATACCTATACATATAGGTTTTCTTGATTCAATACTATTTTTTTTCAGTGTATGCTTTTTGAATAAATAATTTTTAAATCTTTAACTATTATGATTCAATTGTATTTTTCTCAGTATAAGAATTTTTCTAAAAGATTAGTTGTCTTTAACAAACTATTTAGATTTTAATCATTGTTGCTTGAAAGAAATATGCCTGCTATGAAATTTTCAGTAAGATATATGGTATACACTTGAGTTAGGCCGTGGTATGGGGTAATGACGACGTTCTTTCTTAAAGCAATTTCAAGATGGGGGGGGGAGGGGTAAAAGGTGTTGGTAAGTATATATATATATATAGGGGATACAGCAAAAGGTATATTGAAGAAAAATCTAACGGCGTTGGTTACGCACCGATAAGCCGATTAACGGACCGATATTCTTGTTCTTATTCTTCCGGATAAGTCTAATGAGAAAGAGAGAAAATAATTTTCGTCTCTTGTCTTCTCAAAAATCCCGTATATATCAAAATTACCGTTCATTCACCCAATGAATAATTTTTTTTTTTTCCAAAAATTTAACATGGACAGTAATTTCAAAAGTACATTTGCAAATGAAAAAAAAATTAATGAATAATTATATACTTTTGAAATTAGCGTCTTTAGTGATTTTAAAAAAATGTACTAATCAAAAAAAAATTGTGTTAAGTGATGTGGGCATCCTCCCCATCCACCCTGTTTCCAGCAGGTTCGTTGGCCGGCGTGAGCGTCGGCGTATCTGGAATGTCAGTTGGATGTGGTGGTCCATCGAATACATTGGAATGGACAGGCCAAGTGACAGTACGCAAGAAACGTAAGCCCTATACAAAATTTCAAACACTCGAATTGGAAAAGGAATTTCTTTACAATGCATATGTGTCTAAACAAAAACGTTGGGAATTGGCGCGTAATTTAAATCTCACCGAGCGACAGGTGAAAATATGGTTTCAAAATCGACGAATGAAAAATAAAAAGAATAGCCAACGACAAACGCAACAACAAAATAATAATAATAATAGTAGCGCAAATAATCAGAATCATCATGGTGCAGCGACAAGTCATCATCATTCAAGTAGTGCACATACACCATCGAGTCATCATGTTGTTACACAGGCACATCATGCAAATGGACCAGTGAAGCATCATCAGTGACCCTTAGCCTTCTCTGGGGTCGTTCTTGGCCACCATCCCCATAGCCATAATACATCAATTCATGGGGGTAGCCATAGCTTGATCGCAAGTCACAGCCATAATCTTCACACAACACAGCAGACAACGTCTCTGCCTCATGCAACCACATCTTCAACAATACATTCACATGGCCAATCATCGCACCAGTTGACTTCTCATTTGGCTCAGCACCATTCTGCGCTTCTTCATCAATCCCCTCATCATGGCCTGGCCGCCTGAATTCGCGGCCTGAGACTGACTGACTGCGGTCATTGACCCCACCCCAGAGAGAGAGACTATGTTGTCGCAGCAGCTCAAGGACTGTTCATTTATCTTGCCTCTCCGTTATATCTCCTATCCCACCTTTATTCTTTATCCTTCTCTGTATTCTATCCTCCAAAAAAAAAAAAGAGAGAGAGAGACAGTGTAGTAGTAGTAGTAATAATTATTGAACGAATTGACAAAAAAATTATGTATAGGGAGTGTGTGTATGTGCGCAAAACAGTCTTCGCCAAAAGAAAAATGGCTAAAAAAAAGACGTTGAGTGTCTAAAAAAAAAAAAAAAATGGGTCTGCAGTGCAATGCGCGACACCTCCAAGCAATCTGTCCAACTCGATAGTATTCCTCCAGTTATGCATGTAAAATTTAAAAAAAAAAAACATAATTAGTGTCACTTAGTGTTTCCTAACCCCCTCGTGCGTATTACTTTTGACTCTAATTAGGAACTTTGCGGAGTCGATTCGAAAGAAATAAGAAAACCATTCAGTTCTCATGTAGATGGGGCCGGATTTTTCCTCAACAAAAAAAAAAAAAAAAAATAAAGAGGGAATCATTTTGGAAGCTGCGCTTTTAGAGATGAAAATTTCCCAAAGGTGGTAAGAGTGCTCTTCAATAATATATATCTCTAAACAGCATTCGGAAATTATATACTAAAAAAAAGAAAACGATTTTTTATCTGGTTAAAAGAATTTTTGTTTTTAACAAGAAAAAGTATGTTAATTAAACTGGAGAGTTCTTGTTAAATAATTCTGGTTAATTCTTGGTGAAATCAACTGGAATACAGTTTATGTGAATGAAGAGGCAAAAAAAATTTTGTTAGTAGAAAAATTCTGGAGCATATTGAATTTCTGGTTTTATTGACTAGAAATTTAACCAGATTTTCTAATATATTTTGACTAGAAAAAGTAGTGATATTTAACATTTTATTTTTGTAAGAATAACTAGAATTCTAGTTATTTTCACCAGAATTCTAGTTATTCTAACTGATATTCTAGCTATTCAAAGCAGCATTCTAGTTATTCTAACCAGAATTCTTGTTATTTTAACCCGAATTCTTGTTATTTTAACCAGAATCCTAGTTATTTTAAAAAAATTTCCAGTTATTTTAAATAGAATTCTAATTTTTCTCACCAGAATTCTTGTAGATATTTATAGAATTCTAGTTATTTTAACTATAATTTTAGTAAGTATTATTAAAATTTTAGTTATTTTAACCATAATGCTAGTAGGTATCACTAGAATTCTAGTTATATTAATTATAATTTCAGTAAGTATTATCACAATTCTAGTTATTTTAAACAGAATTCTAGTTATTTCAACTAAAATTATCATTATTTGTACCAGAATTCTAGTTATTCTAACCAAATATCTAGTTATTCTAACCAAAATTTAAGTGATTTAACCAGAAATCTAGGGTTTTTGACATAAATTTTAGTTATTCTAACCAAAATTCTAGTTATGTTCACCATAATTGTAGGTATTATGACCAGAATTCTAGTTACTCCAACCAAAATTGTAGTCATTTTAACTACAATTCTAGGGATTTTAACCGGAATTCTAGTTATTCTAACCAAAATTCTAGAGATATTGACCAAAATTCTAGTAACTCCAACCAAAATTGTAGTCACTTTAACTACAATTCTAGGGATTTTAACCGGAGTTCTAGTTATTCTAACCAAAATTCTTGTCATTATAACATGAATTCTAGGGATTTTGACCTGAATTCTAGATATTTCAACTAAAATTCTAATTATTTTAACCAGAATTCTAGTTATTCTAACCAAAATTCTAGAGATTTTGACCAAAATTCTAATTATCCTAACCAAAATTCTAGTTCTGTTAACCATAATTATAGGTATTATGACCAGAATTCTAGTTACTCGAACCAAAATTGTAGTAATTTTAACCACAATTCTAGGGATTTTAACCGGAATTCTAGTTATTCTAACCAAAATTCTAGTTACTCCAACCAAAATTGTTGTCATTTTAACCACAATTCTAGGGATTTTAACAGGAATTCTAGTTATTTTAACCAAAATTCTTGTCATTATAACCTGAATTCTAGGGATTTTGACCAGAATTCTAGTTATTTTAACCAAAATTCTAGTTATTCTAACCAAAATTCTAGTTATTTTAACAAGAATTCTAATTAATTTAAACAAAAATTCTCTGTTATTCCAACCGGAAATCGTTTTCAGTGAATACTGTTTTAAAAGTCCTAGGGATATTTTATACGTTACTGTTAGGGATGGTATTGTATTCCATATCGCAAAATTCATTTATTATTTAATCTAACAAATAAATTTTTATAATTTAACCAAATAAATAAATTCGCTATTTATATATATATATATAGATAGATTAGAACAATATTTCACCTCTGCTTAGTGTAAATTCTTGCGGAAAGAAAAATCATCAGAGCAGAAAGTTACTGACACGAAAGTAAAATTAAAAAAAAAAACGTAATAATTATTATCCGTAAAAACAGTTTTTAACCATTCCTCGTTGATCAGATGATGCAAACTATATAACAATTGCATCTTATGCAATGGGCATATTTCATGCTTCGAATAATAGAAACCATAATAAGATAAATATTATAATGAAACTATGGAAACTGAAACCATTTTTTTTTTTGATGAGCACGATTTAGTTAGCTTAAAATTATTAAGGAGACTAGTACATTTAGGGATTTTTTGTTTGTATTTTTTTTTTTTTTTTTTTTTTTTGTTTGTACAAAATTGGGTGTACCCTTTTTTGTTTTGAACCAAATCAAAAAATGTTATTTGTACCCCTGAAAAAAAATATGGAAGGGTTATAGTTAATTAAGTGTTTTTTAAAAGTAGCATCTTGATTTAAAATCAGATGATTACTTTATTGTTTTCTTTTTATCTAAGCCAAGAAAGCCTTATAATATGTTGATTTGTGACCACATTTTGGGAAATTTACAACTCTAAAAAAGTTTTTTTTTTTTTTTTTTTTTGAGGAAAAATGTCATCCAGCCTTAGTTTATTATAGAAATTAAATGGTATTTAAAAAAAGAAATAAAAGAAAAAACAAAATTAGAAATGAAGAATTATTAGCTTCTTGTGAAAAAGAAAATAAACATCGTACTCGCATCGCCTAAAAAAAAAATAAAATCTCAAACTGTAGTACCTATATGATTCTTAATTGTATGTAAAAAAAATTGTACCTACAGTCATGATGATTGCAAGTATCTCTTTTTTGAGCCGAGCTTGGGATCTTCGACGTCTCTCATATTGGGAAATTTTCAAATCTCCTCTTTTTTTTCTTTTTGTCTCTTGGACAAAATAGTACTTAATTAATTGTATAATATTCATCCTTTTAATATTGGATGAAAAAAAGTGAAATAATTTTTTTTTCCCCCTAAAATTTTATACTATTTTGCAAAAATTATTTTTGTTAGTATTTTTATTGAGATTTGCTGTTTTTGAATATGTCATTTAATTTTAAATTAAATATTTAAGAGGAGAAAACGATCTCGAAGTTCGAAGACCCAAATTCGATCAAAAAAAAAAAAAAAACAAAAGTATAGGTATATATAAATAATTTAATCGGTAAAGAAAAAAAAAAGAATATCCCAGTGGTTCTGTATTGTTTAAGTTGTAAATTATCTACTAGTTTTATTACATGTGTGTATGAGTGTGTATGCTCGAATGAATTTCTTGTGTGAGTAGGACTGATGAAAAAATTGTTTTTTTTTTTTTTTTTTGCAAACGGATCGTCGACTCCGGAAAGAGAAGAAAAAAAAAAAATTAAAGAAAGCCGTATCTCTCATCCCAGTGAATAAATAAAAAGAGATCTTTCTTATTTTCAGAAAAAAAAGGTAGTAATTAATATATAGAAAAATAATTTTCAATAATCTTACCGTTATTTCGAATTTTCTGAAAATTTTTTTTGAGAAACACGATTTTAGAATAAAAGTGTAAAACTTTTTTTTTGTTTTGCGAAAATGGTAGGAATCTATTAGGTATTTGGCCCGTGAAACTGGGTTCGAACAATGTATAGTTCTGCCACAGTACTATATATATATATATACATATATATATATATATATATATAATAGTTATTATATAACGATGATAATATAATATGCTGCAAGTAAGGAATTTAAAGAATTGAATTTAAAAAAAAATTAAACGATCCCGGTCGCGACTCAGTCATCGCACCAAGCTAATAAGCTTTTTCAGCGAACATTGTAATATTTATAATAATTATTATGACGATGTTTATTATTATTAAGATTTAATAAGATTATTATATATTATTATTATTATTATTATTATTATTATTATTATATTATTATTATTACCATTATATTATTATTATTGTGCGCGTCACGTTAATATTATGTTATTGTTTTTATTGTGTGTTGTTTTGTATGTACCTATTCGCCTATAATAATAATATTATTATATTATTATTATTATTATTATTATTATTATGATAAAGCAATGACTCACTCATAATGAAAAAAAAAAAAAAAAAAAAATGGTGTTATTAAATGTATATATTGTCTTGATCCGAATACTAACTGTTGTACTTGTAGTGCACGCTAATTTTATTGCGTGATATTCGTTATTATACTTATAGTACAATTTTTCAGTACCATCTTTTTTCCTTTCTCCTATAATCGACTAGTTTTTTTTTTTTTTTCGCAAGAAGATTTTAGGATTCTCTTCTCTAGTCAGAAAAGATATTGAAAGGGAATTTATTCAAAATAATTGAAGGATGGTAGAGGTTTCATTAAGACTGTCATTATAATTTTTTTTTTTTTTTTTTTTTTTTTTTTTTTTTTCGTTTTATGAAATTATTAGTATTACTACGGAATAAAAAAAAAAAGAAAAAAAAAAAAAAGCTGCGTGTTGAACAATTCATTATTCATTATGTCAATTTATATATAATATATATATATATGAAAAAATATATATTTAAAAATTATTGTCAATTTCATTGTATGAAATTAAAAAAAAATTGGCAAAAATTATAATTTTTTTTTTCTCCAAGAGATGTGACGGGCACAGTTTTTCATTGTTGTAAAAAAGAAAATTTCTTTTCAATTATTATTGAACTTGACAGGACAATATATAATTAAAATGAAAATGTATTTTCCAGAATTTTCAAGTAAACAGTAAAAAAAAAAAAAAAAACCAAACATTTCAATAAAAAGTTCATTGAATCGCATCAAATGTGAAAATTAAGAGGTATTTTTCTATTTCATTTTGCCCATCTCTGGTAAATTCATTAAATTTTACTTTTTGTGTGTGATTTTAATTTAAAAAATGAATTTTTACAAAATATAGATAAAAAAAAGGCGCTTTAATGTGTAATTTGAAATAATGATAATTCAATTTTTTAATGAAACTTTTTTTTTTTTTTTTTTTTTTTAAATCTAGGATATTAAGGTTATATGTAGGCATACATAATAGATAACAATTTAGACATTTTTCAGAAGAATATATAATATATTGTAAAGTATTTAAATGATCATTATGTGTAAATAATAATGAAATAATAATAATAAAAATAAGTTATCGTGTAAACCCAGATAAAAAACGATGTTTATAAAATTGTTTTCTATTTCTTTTTGAATTTGTTTTTTTTTAATATTTATTAATTAATTAATATTCAAATTTTGGTGTTTTTTTTTTAACTTGGCAGAAAAAAAATTTGTTTTATTTTTTGCTTTTTTACATATTAAATACGCAATTTTTGAATTTAATTTTTGATATTTGTCATTTCAAAATTTAGTTATAGAAAAATTATTTTGACAAAATTCAAAAAAAAAAATTTATTTACTTTATATAAAAAATCATAAAAATACAAAAATTTTTATGTAAAAAAAACAAATATTATTATATTAGATAAGTAAAAAGAAGTTTAAAAAAATGAAAATTTCAGTAAAATCTTCCACAATGAAAAAAAAAAAAAATAAGCAGCAATGACTATTTTTCAAAATGCCATGAATGCGTCGAAGATCATATATATATATATATATATATATATATATATATATATATATATGATACTTAAAAGAGGTAAGTATTATATCTTCTCTTGTATCTAATTAGTACTCTCGTAAATAATATTCACAAAGAATAATATGGAAAAAGTATATATTGCAAAAAAAAGAGGTTAAATAATTAGAATTTTACATGAATCCAGATAAGCTTCTTGTTTGTAAAACTATATATTTTTCTTATCTACAATTCAATGAGTCGGCTGTCTAACAAATTATCTATCATTGTGTTAAGATACACATAAAGATTAGTGTATTACCATTTATTCAAATGCAAGTAATAAATTTACATGAACAATGTATATATACAAAAATTGTAAAAAGTCGACATGAAATTATTTCATTCAAAAAGAATTCACTGATTATTATTAACTATAATTGTGTATTTATATAAACACTTCAAATATTTTCAAAATTATTTTAATTTGCATTTTAAATTATTTTAACTGTAAACAAATTAAAAACAGAAAAAATTAATAATAATAATTATTATTATAATAATAATAATTTATTAAGAACTTTGTCAAGGAAATAAAAATTAAAAAATATTAGATTATTATTGTAATAATAAATAAATTAAAAATTCGGGGAAAAAATTAAAAAATGAACACTGAGAAAAATGTTTAGTCAGAACAACCAAAATTTGATTGGGCTAAGAAAAAAATTTTATTGGTATTTAAACAACCAAACTATTTGTTTGAGTCAACGAAAAAAATTTTGGTTGAGTGTTTTTTGTTGGCTTATCAAAAATGTTTGGTTAGCTCAACCAAATTTTTTTTGTTAGATCAACAAAAATCTTTGGTTGATCAAACCAACGGTTTTTTTTTTGTACACTCAGAAAAAAGATATGTTTGAACCAAATGTACCATTTTTTTATATTTACCCAATTTTTTGGTTAGTTTAAACAAAATTTGTTTAATTCAAATAAATATTTATTTGATGTAAATAACTGTTTGGTTTATTTTAATAAATTTTTAACACAAAGAAAAAATTTGATTGAGCTAAATAAACGTTTGGTTTATGCAACCAAATGTTTGGTTAACTGTATATCAATGCATTTATTTTGTTGATTTAACCAAAATTTGGTTGCTTTAAACGAATTTTTTTCTGAGTGTAAAATTAAAAATTTTATTCTACCTTATATAAGTCCTCTTAAAAGCCTATAAGCTGAGAGCGAATCAAATTATTTCGTTGTAGCAACCAAATTTTGGTTAAAACAACAAACGATCATTTAGATTTTTAGACCAAACTATTTTCTTGTGTTAAACAAATTATTTTGTTGTCGTAACCAAATTTCGTTTGGAATTTAAAAAAAAAATTTAATCAAATAATTTTGTTGGCCTATAACCAAAAGTTTTGGTTGAGATAACTCTAGGACTTTGTTTTAGCCAACAAAAATTTGGTTACATGAACCAAAATTGTAAACAAGTTTGTTGCAAACACTAAATTCTTTTTTCTCAGTGAATGAAATAGATTTTTTTTTTGAAAAAATGAATTATAATAAAAATTATTATTATTATTATTATTCTTTTTTTTTTTGAAGAATTTCTAGTGTGAAATGTTCTCTTGTCACTAGAATGGAGAACACATAGACCAGTCAGGGAGACTATCTTGACACAAGAAAACATAATTGCAGTGTTCTGCTCAGCAGAGAGGAACGACGTACTATCGAGCACGTTATCTGCCGTTCCCTTGCCTTGACCAAGTATTATGACGAGGCTCTATTGCTCTTAAAAGCTACCAGAGATACAAAAGAACCTTCATCCACCAACAATGCAACTAAAAATTCCTTCGAAAATAATTTTTGGTCTCGACATATTCGACGAAAACCGCATTTTTAGAGCAAAAAAAAAAAAAAAGGAGTGAGAGAGAGAGAGAGAGGGAGTATCTAACTCATAGAAGCGAAAAATTCCATTTCTCTCTCCTTTTTTTTTTTAATTCTCAAAATTAGTACCCTTTCGTCAAATAACCTAAAGAATTTTTGTCCTTAATTTAGAGTGCATTTTTGATAAAAAAAATTTACATTTTTTTTATTATCAAAAATGTATAATTTTTGTAAGTTTTTATAATTTAAATTTTTTCTAATTTACTTTTTATAATTTTAAATGATTATTTTCTTTTCATCTAAAAAAAAATATTTTCTTTAAATTTGAGACAAATAAACATTTTTGAATTAAAAATAATAAAATATATTTGCCGCAAAAGCCACTTTTTGTTTCAAATAAAAAAAATTTCATTTTGCACAAATAAAATTTAATTTAGTACAAATATAATTTTTTAGTTAGTACAAATAAAATTTTTATTTAATTTTTTTTATTTATAAATTTTTTTGTTTCATTTTCTATTTGTTTACATAAATAGATTTTAAATGAATATTTATTTAGCTCTGGAGAGAAATGTAACTTAAACTCTTAAACTATTTTTGAATTCTAAAAATAGATTTTTGACACAATTGTAATGTGAAAGATAATTTTTTTTTTTTTTTTTTTTTTTTTTTTGCATTCCAAACCCTAACGAAAATTCTATAGCCCTTTTGGAATTTTAAATAAGGTTCACAGATTACATTCACTGGGTCAGGGAAACCAACTTTCGAATGATAGAAAAAAAATTGACCGCATAGTACAGTTTTGTCTGACTAGAAACCCTAAACATCCCTCTATGATGAAAAAAAAATTAGAAATCTGTTCGCCAGATTTCTAATTCACAAATAGCAAAAGTTACAAAAATTTCAGTTTCTTTTCTCGTCGCGAAGATGATAGTTCGATTTTAACTTATATATAAC